CATGTACATACAAACATATTTACATATTTATGTGTATTGATATATGACAAAAATAGTTAAATAATAATCTTTTACTACATATCTATATTTGCCCAAATTATCAAGAGGGAAATTAACAAAAACAAAACAATAACACCCATACATTTTTGATTACATATTACATTTTTTATAAGATTCCGTTTCCAATTTCTGTATATTTTTCTAAAAATTTCACAACTAAGATTTCCAATCACATTGTACTCTAACACACACACCATTTTAACAACTACTATTTATTTAAAAATTTTGAATGGTAAACTAATGGTAATTAGCATGAGAGAAAATTTCATGGTGGTAACAATATCTGAAATAAAATATCCACACAGTATATTTATTTTTGAATGACACAGAACTTATTGTTGTTTCACTCTCCAGATTTCCAGAACTGGAAAGAGTCATCTATTGAACCATGTATGCTGGAAGCAGCCAGTACTCAGGCAGCAGGAGAGAATTCATTTGATTCAGAATATGTCACCTTTCTCTCCACTACCAGCAAACCCCATCCCATTGAGGAGCATGGTAAGGCAGATGCAAAAGTGGGGTTGAGCTCAGACAAGAGGTACAGCTGAGATACTAGTCCAACCCTTGCTCACTTCTCTATTCTTTTGAATAGCAGGGAGGGACTCAAGGCACAGGCACCAATATTGAGGCCTCTTGTGAAGTGTGAATAGTGAATGTCCCTCAAAATAGGGCAAAGTTCCTCAGCACAGGCCTGCATATGAATACTGGGGCAGCTGTGGGGGAGACAAGGGAGATGTTCAATGTATGTGGGCATTTGATCAGAAACTTCTCCCTTAGAGGCACAACTCAAGTTCACACACTCATGTGTTAGAAACCATTATACTAGGTTTTGCCCAATTTCTCCTTCCTTATACTTATTTTCTCATTCAGTAGTCCCTTCTTTCTCCATTCATCTTTCCTCTATTACCATTACAGAACTGTACAACCTTTTCCCCTCATTCCTACAAACAATGATTCTTAGATTCTCTGTTTTCCACATTAATCCCATAAATGCTTCATATGGCTTCACGTAGATAACTTGTGTTAACTTTATAATGCTAAATTGGACCTAGAAAATGTATATTTTCTTTAAAAGAAGCCTTTTCATATTTAGATTTTCTCATCTAAATGTCTGTGGATGTTGGTTATTTCTTTCTTTAGTAGATCTGCACACACTTATATGTAGTGTGTATTCTCCTAATGGAAAATGCAAACATGTGTGCTAAGACATACATGCAAAATTAAATGCATACACACAAACGAGGACATATACAAACACACACACACACACACACACACACACATTCACTTATCATCCCTCTACTTTATCAGTACCAAATATATTCACCTGATATATAACAAAAGATACATATAATTGCATAAAACCTACCACCATCTCATTTTCCATAGAGATGTACCATGTACTCACCTCCAATAAAAAGTAAAAAAAAAAAGAATGCTCTCACTTCTCATCCCCAGTTACTGTATATCTTATATCCTTATAATTGAGAATTACTTCACAGAAATAGATAAATCACATTAGTGTTGTATCCTCTGAGATGACAGAAGATCCTCTTCTCTCCTCTGAGATGACCTTTGTAGAATATTTAGAGGAAATGGAGACTCCCTCCTGCTTTCCACATTTCCAGTTTTCAAAGCTCTTGGACAAGGACCCCTGTACATCCTCAGTGCATATGAAGAAGGCAAGAGTGATGAAAGTGTAGTATATGGATGTACAAATGAAAGTAGTAGGGTTTCTGTGTTATGAGTTACAGAAGGCAAAAATAAAAAAGGCATGAATACAAAAAAATCACCTTTCCTGAGAAAAGACACCTCTAAAGGTCAACCTCTCACATATGTCTACAAAAGAGCCCCTAAATGACAGTGATTCAGCTTGGACAATGTGACCCAAGAGGAAGGGAGGCTGAGAGCTCAGCAGAATTCATCCAATGGTGAAGAGTTCCAGGGAAAAACCTGAATGGCTGCCGAATATGAACATATTAACTTAGATTTTGTACATGGACATATAAACGTATCTGTTTATGTATATTTATAACTTAACAGAAATTGTTGCTTAATGCACTTTACTTCATATACACTATTTGCCCAATTTTTCACAAAGGAAATTATATGAAAATAATAACACCATAATGTAATGACTATCGTATTCGTGATAAGGTTCAGTTTCCTATATTCTGTGTATTTTCCAAAAAGATCACATTCATGATTTTCAATCACAGTGGCATCTAACACACAAACCATTTTAACAACTACTGTTTATTTCAAAATTTTGAATGATAAACATATCATAATTAGCTAAGTGCATGTTTCATGGTGGTAATAATACCTGAAACAAAATATTCACTCAATATATCTGTTTTTGAATAACATAGAAGCCAAATTATGTTATGCCTCAGTATTTGCTGTTGTTTCATTCTCCAGATTTCCAGAAGTGGAAAAGCATTATTACCAAAAAATACATGCTGGAAGCAGCCAGAACTCAGGCAGCAGTAGTGAATTCATCTGATTCAGAATATTTCACCTGTGTCTCCACTTCCAGCAAACTCCTTCCTACTGAGGAGCGTGGTAAGACAGATGCAAAGGTGGAATTGAGCTCAGGCAGGAGGTAGAGCTGAGGTTCTAGTCCAACCCTTGCTTGCTTCTCTGTGAATCCAGAAAGTGGCACTAATACTGAGGCTTCTTGTGGGGAGCAAATAGGTAATGTCCTTCAAAATAGGGAAAAGTTCCTCAGCACAAACTTGCATGTGAACACTGGGGCAGCTGTGGGGGAGACTTGGGACATGCTAAGATGTGTAGGGGAACTTGATCAGAAATATCCCTTTCAGATGGCACCACTAAAGCTCACACACTCATGTGTTACACACTTTCAAACTAGGTATAGTCCCAATTTTCCTCCTTGGTACTTATTCTCTCATTCATTTGTCCTGTTTTTCCAGCCTATTTTCCTATATTACCAATACAGAGGTACTCCATTGTCCCCTTATTCTTACAACCATTCTTAGATTCACTGTTTACAAATTAATCCCATAAATGCTTCACATCCCCTCACCCAGATAACTTGTGATAACCTTGTGATGCTGGATGAAGACCTTGAAAATGTGCATGTCCTGAGAAAGAAGCATTTTCCTATGTGGATTTTCTCACCCAAATGTCTATAATGATGGCTGATTACTGTCCATCATGAACAAGCACACACTTATATATACTATGTGCTCTCATAATGGAAAATGCAATCACACATGCTCAAACACATACACACAAATAAGCACAGGGCACTCACAGACACACATACATGTACGTATACACTCACCACCATCCTCTTTACCAGCAGCTTCACGTGATATGTAACAAAACATACATATAATTGCACAATACCACCATCTCATTTCCATATAGATGTACCATGTACACACCTCAGATAAAAGGTGAATTCCCAGAAACTTGCACACTCCCATTTTCATGTCCAAATATAGGATACCTTATCTCCTTATATTTGACATTTTCTTCCCAGAAATTGATAAATTATATCACTGTTTTATGTGTCATCAATCTTCTGAAATGTACTTTATAGAATATTGCAGGAAATGTAGATTTCCTCCTCCACCCACATTTCTAATATTCAGTGCCCTTGGACAAAGATCCTTGTACATTGTCAGTGCGTGTGAAGAAGAAAAGAGTCATTAAAGTGTAGTATATGTATGTTCAAATGAAAGTGGAGTTTCTGTGGTATGGGTTACAGAATAGGGAAGAATTTCACCCCAAAAGTCAAGAATGCAAATGACTGCATTTCCTAAGAAGACACCTGCAGAAGTAAACTTCTCATGTGTCTACAAAACAGTATTTCTCTGACAGTGAGTTCAGCTTTGACAGTGTACTCAAGTTGAAAGGAGGCTGAGAGCCCAAAAGAACTTACCCAATAGAGAAGAGTTCTAGGGGAAAAGCCTGAATGCTGGTTGTGGACGTATGAACTTAGATACCTTACATGGACATATAAACATATCTATATACTTATGTATATGGATAGCATAACAGAATACCTAAGTAGCAAACTTTTATTCCATATCTACATTTGCCCAATTTTTCAAGTAGTAAATTAGCTGAAAAAAAAAATACCACTCATACTTTATTGATTGCATATCACATTTTTTATAAGGTTCAGTTTCCAATATTCTGTATACTTTTCTAAAAATATCACATTCATTCATCTGTTGTAGGGCACCTAGGTTGGTTCCATAGCTTGACTATTATGAATTGAGCTGCTATAAACAACGAAGTGGCTGAGTCATTGTAGTATGCTGATTTTAAGTCTTTGGTATAAACTGAGGGGTAGGATAACAAGGTCAAATTGTGGTTCCATCTTAGAAATCTCCATTCTACTTTCCAGAGTGTTGACAACAATGCGCAGTCCCACCAGCGTATATAAGTGAACCTCTTTCCCCACATCCTCACCAACATTTATTGTTGCTTGTATTCTTGATAATTGCCACTCTGACTACAGTGACATCTAATAACTAATTCTGATAGCTACATTTATTTAAAAATTTTTAATAGTAAACCCATCATAATTTATCATGATTTCTTTCATAGAGCAGCACCTACTTATATGTACTGCGCTCTCACAATGGAAAATGGCAAGATCAGGCACTAAAACATACCAACATAATCACATATATACAAGCATACACACACACACACACACGAACGCATTCACTCCAAACCATCCCTCTTTACTAACGCCAAACATATTCACCTGATAAGTAACAAACAAACATATAATTGCACAAAACTACCAACATCTCATTTTCCATAGAATATACCATGTACACATCTCAAATAAAAGGGACAAGACAGATAATTCCCAGATACATGCACCCCCATTTTTCATGCAGAATCACAGGCCATTTTAATTCCTTATATTTGAAATTTTCTTCCCGGAAATTGATAAATTACATCAATGTTTTGTATGTCATTTATTCTCCAAGATGCCCTTTTTACAATATTTGGCACAAATGGAGACTACTTCACCTACCCACATTTCTAATTTTCAATGACCTTGAGGAAGGAGTTGTGTATTTTGTCAGTGCATATGAAGAAGGAAAGAGTCCTGAAAATGTAGAGTATGTATGTTAAGTGAAATTAGGGTTTCTGTGTTATTGGTTACAAAAGAGGGAGGAAGTTCCCCAAAAGGCAAGAGTGCGAACAAGCGCCTTTCCTGAAAAGACAACAGCAGAGGTACACACTCTCATATGTGTCTACAAAACAACTAGTGACAGTGATTTCAGCTTGGACAAAGTGGCCCAAGAGGAAAGGAAGCTTAAAGCCCAGCAGAAATTCCTCCAGTGGAGTTCAGAGACCCAAGGCAAAAGCCTGAATGGTTGATGGCATTGGACATATGAATTTAGATATTATGTATGTACATATAAAAATATCCATATATTCATGTATATTGATTACATAACCAAAGTAGTAAATTTATAAACTTTTACTCCATATCTATTATTTGCCCAGTTTGTCAAGAGGGAAATTTGCTAACAATAACACCCACACTCTCTTTATTATGTATCACATTTGTGATAGTGTTCATTTTCCAACAGTCTGTATACTTTACCAAACATATCATATTCAAGATTTCCAAATAGTGATATCTAACACACAAACTACTTTTTTTTATAAGTAATGAAGAAACCACTTTTTATAATAACACACAAACCACTTTTATTTGTTTTTCTTTTGTTTGGTTTTGTTTTTTGGTAGCAGACATTGAACTCTCAGGGTCACTTGACCACTGAGCCATATCCCTAGCCATATTTTGTATTTTATTTAGAGACAGGGTCTCATTGAGTTGCTTAGCACTGCACTTTTGCTGAGGCTGGCTTTGGACTTGCGACCCTCCTGCCTCAGCCTCCCGAGCCACTGGGATTATAGGTGTGTGCCACCAAACGTGGCCCACTGTTTTGTAGCTACTTATTATTTTGAAATTTTGAATGGGAACTTCATAATTACCATGTGAGAAAGTTTCACGGTGGTAACAATATCAATAACAATAAAATATCCACTCGATGTATGTTTTAATGACACAGATTTCAGATTTTGCCATACCTCAGTATTTGCTGTTGTTATATTCTCCAGATTTTCAGTACTGGAAAGAGTCTGCCATCGCACCATATATGCTGGAAGCGGCAAGAGAGAATTCATCTGATTCAGAATATTTCAGCTGTCTCTCCCCTCCGAGCAAAACCCTTCCTACTGATGAGTATGGTAAGACAGATGGAAAGGTGGGGTTGAGCCTCAGGCAGGAGGTACTGCTGAAGTGCTAGTCCAACCCTTGCTCACTTTCCTATTCTTCTGAATATGGGGGAAGGGATTCAGGGCAGAGGCATTAATACTCTGAGGCCTCTTGTGAGAAACAAAGAGTGAATGTGCCTTCAAAATATGACAGAGTTCTTCAGCACAGTCCTGCATGTGAACATTGGGGCACTTGTGGGGGAAATGAAACATGCTGAGGTGTGTGGGAATTTGTTCAGAAACTTTCCTGTTAGACAGCACAACTAAACCTCACAAAATAACCTGCTAGAAACCTTCATACTAGATATGTCCCCATTTCTCCTTCCTTTACTTATTCTATAGTACAGTTTTCCCTCTTTTGTCCATCCATCTTTCCTCTATTACCATTATAGTGGTGCTCTCATGGCCAATCATTCTTACAAATAATCAGTGTTATATTCATTGCTTTCCACATTAATCCAATAAATGCACCACATCCCTTCACCCAGATAACTTGTTTTAATCTTGCAATGCTAGGCCAAGAACTAGAAAAAGTTTGTCCTTAAAAAGTAGCATTTTCATATGTAGATATTATCACCCAAATGTCCATACTCGATGAGTATTTCTGTGTTTTGTAGACCAGCACACACTTACATGTATTTTGTACTCTCATAATAGAAAACAGAAACACATGTGTTATAACACACACATAATTACACTCATACACAAAAAAGTACATATCTCTCTATACACACACACTCACTCATCAACACACACATTCACTCATCAACATCCCTCTTTTGTAGCACTGAATTTATTCATAATAAAACATACATATAATTTCATGAAGCCTACCACCATCTCATTGTCCAGAGATGTACAATGTACACACCTCAAATAAAAGAGAATTTTCATATGCATGTACCCCCGTTTTTAATGCCTAATCACAGGCAATTTATCTCCTTATATCTGAAATTTTCTTCCCAGATATTTATAAAGTATATCAATGTTTTACATGTCTTCTATCCCCTGAGATAACCTTTTTCAATAGTTGGAGCAAATGGAGATTTCCTCTACCTTTCCACATTTCTGGTTTTCAATGTTATTGGCCAAGGCGCCCTGTACATCCTCAGTGCATATGAACAAAGAAAGAGTCATAAAGGTGTAGTATATGAATATTCAAATGAAAATAAGGTTTCTGTGTCATGGATTAGAGAAGGCAAGAGTACAAAAGGCATGAATATAAACAATCAACTTTCATGTGAAGACACCTGAAGAGGTAAACCTCTCACATGTGTTTACTTTTGTAAACATCCCCAAATTGACAGTGCATTCAGCTTGGACAATTTGGTCTAAGAGGAAGGGAGGTTGAAAGCCCAGTAAAACTCACTCATTGGAGGAGAGTTCCAGGGATAAAGCCCGAATAGCTGCCAGCCATGGACATATGAACTCAGATATTGTACATATATATGCATACATACACACACATATACATAATATATGTTTATGTATATTGATAACATAACAGAAATAGTTAATTAATAAACTTAATGACTACTTACTATATTTGTGATAAGGTTTGGTTTCCAATATTATGTGAATTTTTAAAAAATATCACATTCAAGATTTCCAATCACAGTGACATTTAACACACACACTATTAATAAATACTATTTGTTTCAAAATTTTGAATGGTAAACATATCATAATTAGCATTCATGGTGGTAACAACACCTGAAAAAATATCCACTTATTGTATTTATTTTTGAATAACACAGAACCTGCATTATGCTATGAGTCAGTATTTCTTGTTTTTTTCATCCTCCAGATTTCCAGAAAAGGAAAGGCATTGCTACTGAACCATTTATACTGGAAGCAACCAGAACTCAGGCAGCAGAAGAGAATTCATGTGATTCAAAATATTTCACCTGTCTCTCCACTTCCAGCAAACTCATTCCTCCTGAGGAGTGTGGTAAGACAGATACAAAAATCTCCCCCCTCAGATGGCAAAACTACAGCTCAGCTCACACACTAATGTTACACTTCAAACTATGTATGGCCACACTTCTCCTTCCTTGCATTTTTTCTGTAGTTCAGTTTTCCCTCTTTCCCCATCCCTCTTTCCTTTAGTACCATTAATTATGTAAACCCTTGCTCCTTTCTTCCTACAAACAACCATTCCTAGATTCACTTTTTTCTAGATTAATCCCATAAATGCTTCAAATCCCTCCACACAGATAACTTATGTTAATTTTGTAATGGTAAACCAAGAATTAGAAAATGTGTATTTCATGAAAAAGAAGCATTTTCATACATAGATTTTTCTCACCCAAATGTCTATGGATGATGGTGATTTCTGTTCTTCTTAAACCACCTCCTAAGTATGTATACTATGTATTCTCATAAAGAAGAATGCAAACATGCACACACACACACATACATAATCACACACATTCACAATCATACATCCATACATATAGACACACAAACATACACTCATCACTATCTCCAAACGTATTTACCTGAAATGTAACAAAATATACATACAATTGCATAAACCTTCCACCCTCTCATGTACCATGTACACACCTCAGATGAAAGACATGACAGAATTCTAAAACATTCCAGATACATGCACCCATTTTTTTATGCTTATACACAGGTCATTTTGTCTCATTATATTGAAATTTGCTTTCCAAGAAACTGACAAATTACATCATTCTGTTACATGGCTTCTTTCCCCTAAGATGCATCTAGAACACTATTGAGAGGAAATGGAGAATTCCTCCCCCTTTTCACATGCAAAATTTTCACTGCTTTTGGGCCAAGGAGTTCTGTAAAATCTCAGTGCATATGAAGAATGAAAGAATAGTGAAAGCTTAGCATATGTGTGTTAAAATTGAAGGGGGAGTTTCTGAATTATGGGGAACAGAAGAAGGTGGAAATTCCTCCAAAGTATGCAAAAATAGGAACAATCATCTTTCCTGACAAGATCCCTACAGAGGTAAACCTCTCTCATGTACCTACAAAAGATCTCCTAATGAACAGTGAGTTCAGAATGGTTCACAGCACCCTGGCAGAAATGAAGAAGTCAGACAACTTCTTCCTCTCTATGAGAGTTCTAGGGTGAGAACTCATGAAAGCTACTGACCTGGGATGAACATGCATACTCATATACTTAATACATATTTATAAATATCTATATAGTTAGATATAAAAAATGTCAAGATGAATGGTTCTTTATACAACTTTTCCTTCATAACCATTATTTGTACAATTTTCTTTGGAGAAATTCAGCTAATAATAATACCCAATCTTTAGTGATTGCATATAATATTTTGGCTATGGTTCAGTTTCTGATAATATGTATACATTTCCTAAAATATCACATTAAAAATATTCTACCACAGTGACACCTACCCCATGTAAAAATTTTATAAATGTTGTTTGCTTTCATTTTGGAATTTTCAATGGGAAAGTCACCTTAATTCATTTGAGAGGAAGTTTCAGTAGTGATAACAAAGACTGAAACAAAATATTCACTGAATATATCTGTTTATGGATGACACAGAACCAAGATTATCCCATATTTCAATATTCGTTGTTGTAATTATTTTCCAGAATTCAAGAAGTGTCAAGAAATTGCTCCTGCACCATGTAGCATCACCAAGATTCAGACAACAGGAGAGAATTCATCTTTCTCAGAATATTTCACCTGTCTCTCGTCTCTCAGCAAACACATTCCTACAGATGAGCTTGGTAAGGCAGATGCAAATGTGGGATCTGAACTCAGACTAGTTCAACTCTTCCTCACTTCACTATCCTTCTGAATATAGGAAAGGGATTAGGGGCAGAGGGAGGCCTCTTCAACATTGAGACCTCTTTAGAGGAGCAAATAAGAAATGTGCCTTCAAAATACGACAAAGTTCCTCAGCACAAAACTGCATGTAAACCCTGGGGCAGCTTTAGGTGAGAGCAAACAGTACAAGACGTGGATGGGAATTTCATCATACCTTCCTTTTCAGATTGCACAATTCACATGATTTATTCCTTTTAACTAAGCATGGCTTCATTTCTTCTTCATTTTGCTTGTTCTCTCATGCAATTTCTTCTTTCTCTATCCATCTTTCACATTCTCCGATAGTATTACATAAGTACTCCTGTATACCCTCAATCTCACATATAATCATTCTGAGATTCACTGGTTTAAACATTAATTGCATAAATACCTCACATCCCCTCAAACAGATAACTTGTTTCATATCTGTAATGCTAGATCAAAATCTGGAAAATTCATGTCCCAAGAAAAAAAAGGCCTTTTATATGCACATTTTCTCTTTGAAATGTACATTGATGACCATGCTTTCAGCCCTTCATAGACCTGCATCTGTTCGTATGTACTATGTATTGCAAATCATAAAACACACAAAAACATGTACATACCCACATACCCTCATCAACATCCCCATTTCACCAGCACCATAACCTTAACCAGCTATATACCAGAACAGACATGATTCCAAAAAACCTACCACCATCTCATTTTCCATATCAGTGTACCAAGAAAATGTCCCAGATAACAAAAATACCACAAAGAGAATTCTGCAAAAATCACATAAACACACAATCCCATTTCACAGACCACACACAGGTCATCTCATTCTATTCAATTTTTTTTCCTAGAAATCAATAAATATCATCAAAGTGTGCCATGTACTTTACCCTCTGAGATGCTCTAGTAAAGAACTTGGAAGACTTGGAGACTTTATCCCCCTTTCCACATGCCAAATTTCAAATGCATCTGGGTATGCGTACCCTCAGTGCATATGAAGAAGGAGAGTCATGAAAATTTAGTTCATGTATATTTGAAAGAAAAGGAGAATGGCTGCCTATAGGATACAAAAGTAGGAGGAAAGACTGTCCCACCAAAAGACAAGAATGCAAACAATTGCCTCTCTTAAGAAGATCCCAATAGGAATAACCCCTCCTGTATGTCTACAAAAGAACTCCTTATAGTGAGTTCAGCTTTGATACAGTAACCCAAGAGAAAAGGGAGTCATCTGGCAGCTCATCAGAATTTCTGATTCTTGAGACTTCCAGGGCCAGAGGCCTGAACTCTTGGTATCCCTGAACATATATATTTAGATAGATGATAGGTAGGTGATAGATAGATAGATAGAAAAAATGAACTAGGTCATTATAGTTGTTTTTAAAATTCATACTCCATGTCCTATAAATGAACAATTTCTAATGAGAAATTTAGATAATAATAATAATGATAATAACTTCTAGTGAGTATATGTCATATTTTATGTATGGTTTAGTTTTCAAAAATCTGTATAAATTTCCAAAAATATTGGGTTGCAGTTGTAGCTCAGTTGTAGAGCAATTGCCTAGTATGCATGAGGCATTACATATTCAATCCTTAGCACCACATAAAAATAAATAAAGTTATTGTGTCCATCTACAACTAATTTTTTTTTAATTTCCAAAAATATCACATCCAGGATATCCAATTTCAATGATATCTACCACACATAATGTCAATAACTATTGTTTGTTTTTGTTTTGGAAATTTCAATGGGAAAACCATCTTACTGATTGTGAGAATTAGTTTTATGGACAGTTAACAATGCCTGAAATATCTTGTTCACTGAGCATATCTGTTTCTGAATGAAACAGAGCCTAGATTGTGGCGTGTCTTAATGTTTCTTGTTATTTTGTTTTCCAGGATTGCAGAAGTTTCAAGAAATTGTTCCTAAGTCATATATGCTGGAACCAGTCAGGGATCAGGCAGCAGGAGATAATTCATCTTCCTCAGATTATTTGACCTCCATCTCCTTTGACAGCACACTGACCCCTAATGATAATCAGGGTAAGACAGATTCCAGGTTATCTGAGATCAGAGAGGGACCCCAGTTGCTTGTCCAACACTGCTCACTTCACTACTTTCGAAATACAAAAGAAGGATTCATTCCAAAGGACCTAACACCAAGCCTTGTGAGGAGGGTCGAATGGGGAATGTGCCTTCAAGAATAGGACTGAATCAGAACCTCAGCACAATGCTGCATGTGAACACTGGGGTAGCAGTGGGTGAGATGGGATAGTGCTGAGATGTGTATGGTAATTTAATCAGAAACTTCCCCCTCAGATGCCACAACTAAAACATACTCATATGTTATAAATATTCATACTAAGCTGGCCCCATCTCCTCTTCCTTTACTTATTTTCGCATACAATACTCTTTTTTTTCTCTACCCATTTTTTTCTATTCTCCATTAACATTGCCTATATACTTCCTTTCACCCTCATTTTTCCATACAACCATTCTCATTTCATTGATTTACATTTTAATTTATTAAATGTTTCATATATTTCCAGACAACCTGTTTTAACTCTGCAATGCTAGACCAATATCTAGGAAAGTTAAGAAAACTCATATGTCTTGAAAATAAAGCACTTTCTTATACCAATTTTCTCACACAAATATCCAATGATAGATATGCTTTCAGCCATTCAAAAACCCATACCTGACCATGTACACTCTGTACTGTCATTTAGCATGCACACGCACGCGCACACACACACACACACACACACACACACAATCATCACCACCCCCTTTTGACAACATCAAAAATAATCACCAGATATTTACCAGAATATAATTCAACATGTTATTACAAAAATCTCATTTTCCACACAGGTGTAACATGTACAAACTTGGGTTGACATATAACACACAAAGAATTCTGAAGCATCACTGATATATGTACCCCCCATTTCGCATGCCTACATACAAGAACATTCTTATAGTAATGTTATTTTCTTTTATTTGGATTTTTTTTCTAGAAACCAGTGAATCATCTTCATATGTTTCCTATCCTGAATCACATAGTACGTCTGTAGAAAGCAAGTTGGAAGAATCAGAATATTCTTCGTCATTGGCATATAACGAATTACCAGTTTACTTGGCCAATAATCCCTGTACATGCTCAAAGAAGAGGAAAAGGGAAAGAATAATGAAAGTGTACTATATGCATGTTACAATGAAGAGGGGGGTGGCTGTCTTAGAGGATACAGAAGACGAAAGTCAGCCTCCATGCAAAAAGACAAAAATGAAAACCATTGCATTTCCTGAGACAATCCATACAGAAGAAAATCTCTCTGACGTATACACAGAAGAACTCCTAACTGAGAGTGATCTCAGCTTTGATGATGTAGTCCAAGAGGCATCAGAAGATAATGACAGACCGATAGATCTTCCACCTCTGGAGACAAGTTCCAGAGCTAAAACACCAGAATGGCTTGTGGCCCATGACAGTGGCTACAGGTGCATGGCCTGCTGCCGAGTTTTCCCCTCCTTGGAGATTCTACAGGACCATGTGAAGAATGGTATTAAAGAGGGATTTAGCTGCCATTCTTTTCATGTAGCCCTTAACTTGCTTAGAAGTAAGAACAGAAATAGAAAAAAAGAAGTATACGAAGAGGAGGAAAACAAAGTCAAAAAGAGCTGGACAAAAGGCATAAGTATCCAATGTCACAACATAATTAGGCGCATAAGAGACTTCTTTCACAATAACCATTGATAGCATCATGACCACCAGCACAACTATCACCACCATCAAAAGCCCCAGCACCACCATTATTACTACCATCAACAATACAACAACAATGGCCACCACTATGACTACTACAACCATTGCCACTGTCAATAACATCACCATCAACAGCAGCAGCAACAAGCACCATCATCACTATCTTATCATCACAGCCATCACTACTATCAAGAGTATCACCACTACAATCATAATTAGCACCACCATCAACAGCACCACTACAATTACCACCTTCACCGGCACTACCAGCACCACCATCAACAGTACTATCTGCAGCACCATCACCACCATACCATGACCATCACAACCATTGCCACTGTTAACAGCACCATCAATAGCAGTGCCATCTCTACCATCACCACCAATAGCACTACCATCAACAGTACCATTACCAACATCATAATCATTGTTAACAGCACCATCACCTCAGCCATCACTGACATCAACAATGTTATCACCAGCACAATAGTCATCACCACCATTGACAGCACCACCAGTAGCACATTAGCAGCAGCATCACCACTATTATCACCAACATGGCTAGCACCACCATCACTAGCCCATAACCACCACAACCATCAATACCATAAATAATAGCACCAGTACTGCTAACACCACTGTCAACAGCTCCACCTTCAACAGCACCACCATCTACAGGACTACTATTATCATCATCCCAGCACCATGATCACCACCACCAGGGCCACCAGCACCAATATGGACAGTAGCACTTGTACCACAAGTAGGATTAGAGAAGCCCTTTAGATAATATTCCCCAGAAGAAAAAACAAGTTTGTAGACCACATCAAGCTATAAAGCAAAAATGTCCTCAGGCAAACTAAAGAGCAATGAATACCAGTATATCATCTTTATCACTGGAAGAAATTCATTTGAAATAGAAACTGCTATGGACTGGACTTAGAAGAAGAGGCGAGGTTCCCAGGGGTAAGTAAATATGCCCCAAATTGGAAATTTGGGGTTTTAAGAAATGGTGGGAACAATAGCAGAGAAGTCTCATGAGAAATACCTCCTATGGTGAAGGATTTCTTTCTAAAGAAATTATGCATGGGGCTGGTGTTGTAGCTCAGTTGGTAGAGAGTTTGTTTTCATGTGTGAGACATTAGGTTTGATCCTCAGCACCACATAATTATGCATGAACACTGGGTTAAAGACAAAGGAAGTAGAATGGGTCCCACTAATGACTTCTGAGGAGACATGAGCAAAGGCCTGTCTCCCAGTTCTGAAAAACAGAAGATACTGGGCCCAACATTCTTAGATCAATCTCACCATTTGTTCCTTGGCCTGGCTTCCTTCTGAAAAGCACAGGACAAGGAAAAGAAGTCTTTATCCATGAGAAAGGGTTGATATGCAGGCCTGTCATGGTTGTGATTGAAATTCATGGCCTTATTGTGATTTTCATGCCTGGAAGAAGACTGTACAGGAGTTTCACCCACTCAAAGGGACTGTAATGACTTGAATGTGTTTATTTTTTTTATTTTTCCCCCTAGGAAAACATTTATGTTCTCTGTACCAGAAACTGGAAATGAAGGTGTCTAGTGTCTATGGGGAAGGGTAGCAAAGGTTCTGCTTGGACTCTTCTGACAACTTTGCACATGGATTTCTTTCTAGATGTCCTTCATATTCTGTAATGGAACTTCATGATTCTCACATCTTATTCTTTCTTTTTTCTTCTAGCACCAAGAATCTGGTTCTATATAATCAACAGAGAGGAGATAAACATGGACAAAGCTGAGAAGACTTTGCAAAGCCAGGTGCACGCTGCTATAGCGGAGAGTGTCATTTTTAGTTAGAAGGAAAATCAGACTTGTCTTCAATATTTCTAAAGTCACAGAATCAAAACAGAAGTTGTCCTGAGATTAGCTGAAGACTTGTCTCTATGATAAGAACTACCTTCCTGACTTAAAGGTGTTCTTTTTTATTTTGCTTATCTCACAGCAAAAAAATGGTATGGATTATACAAGGAAGGAGTTTCTCTTCACCAAGCTGTCAGCACTTAAGAACTGAGAAAATACAAGAATAAATAATTTTTTATTAATCTATTTTATAGTACAGTAAAATATATTATAGAAATTTTCTTTAATAATGTGGATTAATATTAAAGTAGAACTATTTGTTATTGAATGTACCCACTGAAGGAAAATCAAGGAACGAGAGATGGGTAAGAGAGAAATATATTATAGAATAAAATATATTGTAGAAATTATTTACTAAAATATATTATAGAAATTTTCTTTAATAATGTGGATTAATATTAAAGTAGAACTATTTGTTATTGAATGTACCCACTGAAGGAAAAGCAAGGAATGAGAGATGGATAAGAGAGAAATGAAAGAGATACACAGGAGAGTAGAGATACACAGGAGAGTTTATTTGTCAGAGCTGACAAATAAAGGCCATCTCTCTATAGGAGAGAGAGGCAAAACAGGCTGAGTTCTGGGACTTTTATGAGGGAGGCTCAGGAATCAGAGCTGGGCAAGTCCTTATGCTTTAAGGATTGGGTTGATATGAATGAGTGGAGTGGCTTTCTCAGAAACTCTGTTGGGTGGGAAAGTGAAACTTTTTCCTTAAAATGGAGGTTGTCACTTAAGGTGGCCATCAAGATGCTAATCACAAGGACCTTAAACCCACTATATCTATATCTTCCTATTTTCAAAGTCAAACTCAGAAATATAGAATAATATTCTAATAAAACTCCAAGTTTTAACCTCCTCCACATTTATGGGAAGAAGGTTTTTCAGATAACAGCTCAATTGTTTTGGAGTAGTAGTTACCACGGTAACTTTTGTAATAGAACTATAGACCATTGCCTTAGCAATCAAGGATTGATTACTCATTTTGGAGAAAAACAGGGGAAAGGAACAGTAGACTCTAACCTGTTTCCTTTCTTTATTCTTTTAGCTTTGTCATTATTATGCTAAATAAAGGCAGTACTATGTCCCTTTTGAATGTAAGTGTACTAATTGCTCTAAAGTTTCTCACAGTGAGTAAAAACCTTGAACAAATAATAAAGTCCATTTCACACCATCACTCTCACCCAGAAGTCACAGTCATTTCATCTGTGGAAGAGATACTGAATACCATTTTAGGAAGCAAGATAAAGTAGCACAAGGGGATAGACCTTGACAGACTCTAGGGGGAAGAAAGACTCTTTTCCAAATGGTGGAATGTAACAATGGAAAAAGGAGGGCCCAGAGGAGTATAAAGGTCAGATATTGGTGTTCCTGATTCCTTCACTCACATTTTGAAGGGAGAAAAATGTGTGATTTAATTAACCAATAATTTTCAGATTCTCATACATATGGGTAGATAAGACTGGGAGTTTGGGATTTAGAATCGGAGGCTGGAGTTTCTCTAGATTTCAGTTACTTCTCTTCTTCATTCAATAGAATATGCAAATGATTTTGCTTGATTTTAGTCAAGCCTGGTGTGTAGGCGATGAGCAGTAATTCATTTATATATTGGGGTTGTAAATTTCTTTGAATTTTCTAAATTTTAAAAAACTTGTGCATATGTCATATCATATTCATAAATGTATATTTTCACATTACCATCCTAGAAGGCTAAGTATTTTTAAGTACTTCTCTAACTGCATTGATTGACTGTTAGGCATTTCTACCAGTGATATCTGAAATAACTTATTTTACCAGTCTCACCAAAAGGGAACATAGTCAAACTTTCAGAATTGTTTCCACTCACAGAGGTGATAATGATACATCTATACTATTAATTCATTAAAACTATTAGATATAGGGCTTGGGATGTGACTCAGCGGTAGAGCGCTCGCCTCGCACGTGCAAGATCCTGGGTTCAATCCTCAGTATCACATAAAAATAAATAAGTGAAATAAAGGTATTGTGTCCAACTACAACTAAAAAATAAATATATTTTTTTTAAAAAACTATTAGATTATAGTGTATTTTCATATGTTTCACAGCCATTTGTGTTTGCCTTTTATTGACTTCTGAGTATCTTTTGCCCAATCTTCTCAGATTTGTACCCAAGTTGTTTGTGTCTATTGACTTTGGTTATGGTTAATTCACTCTGAACAGAACTGTTACAAACTTGCAGAACTGGCTTTTAAGTCATAATTGGAAAGGATTCTTTTCTTCAAATCGACAGACCCTTAGCCATGCTAGCGAAGAGAAGAAGAGAGAGAACTCAAATTACTAGCATACGGGATGAAAAAGGCAATATCACAACAGACACTTCAGAAATACAGAAGATAATCAAAAATTATTTTGAATCCTTATACTCCAATAAATTAGAAGATAGTGAAGGCATCAATAAATTTCTGAAGTCATATGATCTGCCCAGATTGAGTCAGGAGGATATAGACAACCTAAACAGACCAATACCAATCGAGGAAATAGAAGAAACCATCAAAAGACTACCAACTAAGAAAAGCCCAGGACCGGATGGGTATACAGTAGAATTTTACAAAACCTTTAAAGAGGAACTAATACCAATACTTTTCAAGCTACTTCAGGAAATAGAAAAAGCGGGAGAACTTCCAAATTCATTCTACGAGGCCAACATCACCCTGATACCTAAACCAGACAAAGACACTTCAAAGAAAGAAAACTTCAGACCAATATCTCTAATGAACCTAGATGCAAAAATCCTCAATAAAATTCTGGCGAATCGGATACAAAAACATATCAAAAAAAATTGTGCACCATGATCAAGAAGGATTCATCCCTGGGATGCAAGGCTGGTTCAATATACGGAAATCAATAAATGTTATTCACCACATCAATAGACTTAAAAATAAGAACCATATGATCATCTCGATAGATGCAGAAAAAGCATTCGACAAAGTACAGCATCCCTTTATGTTCAAAACTCTAGAAAAACTAGGGATAACAGGAACATACCTCAATATTGTAAAAGCAATCTATGCTAAGCCTCAGGCTAGCATCATTCTGAATGGAGAAAAATTGAAGGCATTCTCTCTAAATCTGGAACAAGACAGGGATGCCCTCTCTCACCACTTCTGTTCAACATAGTTCTCGAAACACTGGCCAGAGCAATTAGACAGACGAAAGAAATTAAAGGCATAAATATAGGAAAAGAAGAACTTAAATTGTCACTATTTGCAGATGATATGATTCTATACCTAGCAGACCCAAAAGGGTCTACAAAGAAACTATTAGAGCTAATAAATGAATTCAGCAAAGTGGCAGGATATAAAATCAACACGCATAAATCAAAGGCATTCCTGTATATCAGCGACAAATCCTCTGAAATGGAAATGAGGACAACCACTCCATTCACAATATCTTCAAAAAAAATAAAATACTTGGGAATCAACCTAACAAAAGAGGTGAAAGACTTATACAATGAAAACTACAGAACCCTAAAGAGAGAAATAGAAGAAGATCTTAGAAGATGGAAAAATATACCCTGTTCATGGATAGGCAGAACTAACATCATCAAAATGGCGATATTACCAAAAGTTCTCTATAGGTTTAATGCAATGCCAATCAAAATCCCAACGGCATTTCTTGTAGAAATAGAGAAAGCAATCATGAAATTCATATGGAAAAACAAAAGACCCAGAATAGCAAAAACAATGCTAAGCAGGAAGTGTGAATCAGGCGGTATAGCGATACCAGACTTCAAATTATACTACAGAGCAATAGTAACAAAAACAGCATGGTACTGGTACCAAAACAGGCGGGTGGACCAATGGTACAGAATAGAGGACACAGAAACCAATCCACAAAACTACAACTACCTTATATTTGATAAAGGGGCTAAAAGCATGCAATGGAGGAAGGATAGCATCTTCAACAAATGGTGCTGGGAAAACTGGAAATCCATATGCAACAAAATGAAACTGAATCCCTTTCTCTCGCCATGCACAAAAGTTAATTCAAAATGGATCAAGGAGCTTGATATCAAATCAGAGACACGCCGTCTGATAGAAGAAAAAGTTGGCTACGATCTACATACTGTGGGGTCGGGCTCCAAATTCCTCAATAGGACACCCATTGCACAAAAGTTAATAACTAGAATCAACAAATGGGACTTACTCAAACTAAAAAGTTTTTTCTCAGCAAAAGATACAATAAGAGAGGTAAATAGAGAGCCTACATCCTGGGAACAAATCTTTACTCCTCACACTTCAGATAGAGCCCTAATATCCAGAGTATACAAAGAACTCAAAAAATTAGACAATAAGAGAACAAACAACCCAATCAACAAATGGGCCAAGGACCTGAACAGACACTTCTCAGAGGAGGACATACAATCAATCAACAAGTACATGAAAAAATGCTCACCATCTCTAGCAGTCAGAGAAATGCAAATCAAAACCACCCTAAGATACCATCTCACTCCAGTTAGATTGGCAGCCATTATGAAGTCAAACAACAACAAGTGCTGGCGAGGATGCGGGGAAAAGGGTACACTTGTACATTGCTGGTGGGACTGCAAATTGGTGCAGCCAATTTGGAAAGCAGTATGGAGATTTCTTGGAAAGCTGGGAATGGAACCACCATTTGACCCAGCTATTCCCCTTCTCGGTCTATTCCCTAAAGACCTAAAAAGAGCATGCTACAGGGACACTGCTACATCAATGTTCATAGCAGCACAATTCACAATAGCAAGACTGTGGAACCAACCCAGATGCCCTTCAATAGACGAATGGATTAAAAAAATGTGGCATTTATACACAATGGAGTATTACTCTGCATTAAAAAATGACAAAAATCATAGAATTTGCAGGGAAATGGATGGCACTAGAGCAGATTATGCTAAGTGAAGCTAGCCAATCCCTAAAAAACAAATGCCAAATGTCTTCTTTGATATAAGGAGAGTAACTAAGAACAGAGTAGGGTCGAAGAGCATGAGACGAAGATTAACATTAAACAGAGATGAGAGGTGGGAGGGAAAGGGAGAGAAAAGGGAAATTGCATGGAAATGGAAGGAGACCCTCAGGGTTATACAAAAGAACATACAAGAGGAAATGAGGGGAAAGGGAAAAATAATACAAGGGGGAGAAATGAAGGTCAGTAGAGGGGGTAGAGAGAGAAGAGGGGTGGGGAGGGGAGGAGAGGGGGGATAGTAGAGGATAGGAAAGGTAGCAGAACATGACAGTCACTAGTAGGGCAATATGTAAATCAATGGATGTGTAATTGATGTGATTCTGCAATCTGTATATGGGCTAAAAATGGGAGTTCATAACCCACTTGAAGCAAAGTGTGAAAGATGATATATCAAGAACTATGTAATGTTTTGAACAACCAACAATAAAAATAAATAAATAAATAAACCATAGAATCTGGAAAAAAATGACACATCTTTTTTTTTTCATAGCTGTTTTTTTTTTTTTTTCTCTTACATAAAGCAGATAATGGTCTGAGATATTTCAATTTTCTCTCTTTTTCTGAATGATTCTTAAGTTGCCATAGTGTCTTTTATTCAAACGTTCATCTTTTTCCTTAAGGGACTTACCACTCTTGCAGCACGGATGTATCTTCTTTTCATATACTAAATTTCACATGCACTTAAGTCTAATTCTAGATTTTCTGTGAATTGATATTTTGTTATCTCACTGTCTCTATGTGTTCCCCAACACACACAAACACACACACACACATATATGTGTATATATATATATATATATATATATATATATATATATATATATATACATATATGTGTGTGTGTGTGTTTATATATAATACATGCAATATATATTATATATATATATGATTTTTGCAGTATATTTAAAATTCTCATATTAGACTCCTTTTGCTCTTCCTCATCTCACTCCCTTAACCATTATTACTTATGAATATTCAGATGTACAATTTAGAATTATCTTGGGAAAAACTGGTAGCTTGTTGATATTATACACATCATCATAGTTTTTGTCAAATTGTTAATTCTATTTTGAGTCATAAATTTTAAAGTTATAAGGTTTATACATGTTTTTATAGATGTAGTGTGATAGATACTTTTTCTAGGTTTTGTAAATAGAAATGTTTTCTATTATAGCTTTCATCTGACTGATGGGTTTAGGTATG